GGGTATGTGGGGGGGACTTGGTGAAGGGGGGAGCCTAGTAAACATAATGTTCTTCATGTAATTGTAGATTAATGATACCAAAATAAAAAATAAAATAAAATAAATAATAATAATAATAATAAAAAAGAAAACCTGATAAGCACACAATAAAACCACTTGAAAAGAAAGACAAGTTCCTTCTACTGACTACAGAACAAGTCAAAAGGAGAATTATCAAAATCATAGACTCACATGAGGCAATAAAAAGCAACACTGTACTCTAAAAATATACATGGGCTACAAATTTACCCTTTACCCTTTAATTAAATAAAATGGATTTGCAATTTACACTAACCAATGTTTTTCTTCACTTCTATAGAGATTAAACATTTTATGATGTTTTGAGAATGCATGAATTTATATGCATTATAAACTGCCTCTCAGGAAGTAACTTTGTGGATGTTTATGTCGTAATATATTTAATTCAAGTACTACTATGATGTTTGAGCAAAGTCAATCCATTACATAAATGAATATTCTCAAAATTAACTGCTAAAGAAACTCAGTAGTTGCTAGGAATTCCAACAGTGTGAAATTACACATCTAAGTCCTATTTTCATCAATATCTGCTGGCTTTGCTCACCTGAAATTGAACACATCACTAAATATAAAGAGACTTTCATCATACTACTCAGATGAGCCTTCTACTGGTAAAAATAAATTAATTCTCAGCATCCCTAAATTCAATTCTGCATCCAGTGGTCTCTGGCTAGCGCAGTTACATTTCCCTGAATCTCTCTATGGGGGATCAGAGGTAAGACATTTTTTCATCTTCTGTACCATCATCTGAAATAGAAGTGACAAACAATAATCATCTTATGCTCCCCAATCTCCTGCCCCCCCCAAGGCCAGTCTCTTACAATGGGTCCTCATAATAATTCACAACCTCAATGAAGAGAAAGAAAGCCCTTCAGCCAAAAAGGAACTTTTTCATATTCTCCAAGTTGATGTTCAACGTCACACATTTATAAGATCTTTCATTTTTTTTCCTCTCCTCAGTTCACCAAAGGAGGGCCATAAAAAAGTTTATAAATACACAATGTGCCTTCTTTCCAATTTCATGCCTTCAAACTGGTTGATTTTGTCATTATTCATCATCTCATGCATAAATTCATAATAGAAATTAAAAAAAAATTTCTTGACTGGGAAATAAAACTGCCTATTTTCTAACTTCCAACTCAGTCCTGATGAAAAGCAAACACAGTATCAGTTGGAAAGCTTCTCTAAACAGGATGTATATCCTTGAAGAGACTAAGTCTGGGTATTAATGGGTGAGGATGTACGCCTCCCTTGTCAGGGGTAGAGTCTGAATTAAAACAAGGCCACCTCGCTTTCTTCCCTGGTTTAAGGACCAACTTCATCTAGCTCACCTGGGAGTCTGTCAAGACAGAATTTAGGACCATACTTCTCAGACGAACTAAATCAGGGTCAGCATTTTATTGATATCTTATGCAGATCTCCATACATCATAAAATCTCAGAATTGGTGAAAAGTTTAAAAGCCTCTCACACATAAAGATAGATGAAACTTGGATAACAACTATAACTAACAGTGACTATCTCGTTCCCTTCACAAATTCTTTAGTTCTTCACAAATTCTTTAGTTCTTCTAATAGGTCCTTTTTCAGTGAAATCTCTCATAAAATTACAAACTGCTTGACTTAGTAATGACTTTATAGCAACTTACTACACTGATAGACAGCAACTGCAATGGGGGAGGTGAGGACTTGGTAATACGGGTGAATGCTGAAACTACAATGTTGTTTGTGTGAAGCCTTCAATAAGGTTTGTATATCAGTAAGATTGTATATCAATCTTATACTTTATTTTAAAAAAACATATACTTAAAAAAAAAACAAAAACAAAAATGTGATACTGCTAAACTCCCCCCAGAATGTCTAAAATAATATAGAAAACAAAAAATTATAAACTGCTTGTATTTAAATACATAAAAGCTTATTGTAGCTGCTGCTGCTGTTCGTGGAAGCCACTGACATAACCAAGTTCTTACCTAATCTGAGCTCTCCGAAGTTCCCACACCCTATCTTCTTGCCAACCCTGAAGTTGGGCCCCACCATAAGAACCCCAGAGGAGGTTGTGGAGCCAGATGGTCGGGAACAGTGTGCACTCCTTTGTGCCATGGGTTTAGCTGTCCGTTGTCTCTCATCTTTCTCCCTACTGGGATGGTCCATGGTCCTACACAGCAGAGTCTCTCTCTGCACACCGAGTCGTCTCAATCTGTATACTTCTCTTCAATACAAAACTATATCCAGATAAAACCGTAGTCAGAGAAAAGAAAGGAGTTCTTCTGGCACCATATTTATGGTTCTAATGTATCTCCAATAGATGAAAAACCATTGATTAGTTCTTGTAGGACACGTAGTCTGTAGGTCTCAAGCAAAGGAGGATATCGGTACCTAGGTAAAAACCAAGAAAACATACAGTTAAAAATTAAATTTTAAAACAAACTGAGAAAGTTACCACTAATTAGAATGGATCCTGTCCAAAAGTGAGCAAAGTGGGTAGCTTCCTGAAATGGTTTTTGATTTTATATCCTCCAACAGTTTAGCCATCTGGACTAGTTATTCATCTGGTAACATAAGCTCAGTAGCCTGCAGACCATGGCAGCTAAGGAAACACAAAGCCTTTATATAAAATGCTCTCTCCTGGTCCTGTACCTATGACCCAAAAGAAATCTTTTTTGGGGCTTTTTCATCATTGGCTAACAGAAAGATATGGTGGGATTAAGCCAAGTTAAAACTAAGGATGATTAAAAATCTTCCTTTTAATCCAGATAGAACCTATCAGAAATGAGGCTACTCCCTGTCCCCCTCTGCCAGCCCTAACATTTATCAAGCACTGATAGCCACCACACAATCCAAAATAAGGTGCTGACAGACTGCTTCTAAAAAGGACTTTTCAAAATCCTAGTCGTACTAAGTAATCTTAGACTGAAGCTTTGAGAAGCTCAATTTTTGGTCAAGTTTTCATTGTGGCCTGAATACACAATGACAGAGTACCTGATGCAGATCCTTTGCACAACCCCAAAGTGAAAATAAAACTCAGAAACAAAAAAATTCTTAAACAGAACTCATCCTTATTCAGGACTCAATTCCAGGTCTCAATTTAGGGTGTCAATTCAGGACTAAGCTCCAGAAAAAAAGTTTACAGTGAGATACTATTTTTGGTAATCCAGGTGACTATTCTTAACAAAAAAATATTCTGTTTTCACAACACATACTTATTTTTCACTTTCATTAAGTATTTCCCTAAAAATTTAAGGAAAAAGAGATTTATAACAATTGCTTGGTTGTTTTGCATTTATACAACAAAGCAAAAATGCCTAGACTCCTAAGTTTCTTACGGATAACTTTAATTCCCTAGTACACAGACCAGGCTACAACCTGTTAGCTAACTATACACACAAGCACATAATCCAAGAATATAATCTGTTCACTTCATTCTGATAGATAAAATAAACTTTATTTTTATCATTTGTTTTCTTTCCATTATTAGAACTGCATAATGACTTTAAATTTCCACAAAGCTAATCATCAATAGAATACATTTCTCTCAATTCAGGAAACAACACATCTACATTCATAATTTATATTATGTTAAGGAAAAAAAATCAGGGTGATGAAAAGAGGACAGCAATTACTGGATTTCCTACATGAACCATGAACATTATGAATTTATATTCCTCATCATTCTCTCTCTTATTTCCACTTTAATCTAATACCTTCCTATTATTTGGTTGTTTAAATGATCTCAAAGAATATTAGTAAGAAAAGGTAAATATAATTTAAGATGTTTTATTTAGATAGTCAGGCTGTACTTTGTTCCCTTATACTATAAAATTTTTTGAGAAAAGGAAACGATACGCCTTAGCCTACCCAATTTTGAGCATTCAACTAACTCCAAACTTCTCATAAATGATCACTGGTATAACCAGTCTCATTTATAAAATCTGGAAACTGTACTACCTTATCTATTGCTGTTCATATTTTACATATGTGTTCACTCTGTTTTTCTAACAGATGGAGGCTATTTTTATGTTTGTCATTAATTTTCTTCATTGCACTTGAACTGATGTAATATTAGATGGAGTAATCACACACAGCTCTCATTATCCATGTATAATTGCATGCATGCATTAGAGAAATATATAGTACTTGTCAGGTTAGAAGCCCGCAGAAAGCCAAAAATTGTGTTCAGCTGGGAAAAGAATGTTTTTAACACCTGCTTGCAGACCAGAACAATCATTTAACTCCTACAAACATGACAAGAACCCACATTTAAGATACCAATTTTCTAATCTATGCATGGGACATTACCATGGTCTAATCTATTATTAATAAGATGAATAATATTCAATGCTACTTTATGTGGCACCTCTCATTTAAGAAATCAAACTAATTGAACAATTAAATTTTTAAAAATTATATTTCTTTATCACCACCCACTGCTCAAAACTATTTTTCTACGTTCCAATTACAAACTCTTTAGCTTGTCATTTGAGTTCCTTTAATAGCAACGTCCTATTTAAATACCTGTATTAAAAAGCTACTACATAAACACAGGAGCACACATTCTTAGCCCTTAGATCTAGAATGACTTAACTCTTCTGTCTTATTTAAGACCTGACTCATAACCCAACACCTTTGTGAAACTTTTTATAACCAATTCATCATTAACCCTTGGAGCACCACTGTCTATACCACTCATTTGCCACCTACCAAGCATCAGATTATATTGATATGTACTCTAATATTCAATTTGAATATAAGCCTTTGACATTAGGGATTTTGTCATATCCTCATTAGCTTCTTGCATTTTACTGGTACTAAATAATGCTAAGTAATAACTATGATGGTCTGGCTTAACAGAAAATATATTCCTAGTGATGTAACCCAAATATTTACACAAAATACTACAAGTAAAGAGAATCCTATTTAACCCTAAGAACTCCTTGAATTCATCCAGCAAGAAGCTACTATCATTTCACTTAAATTCATTAGTATTAAGACATAGGCTAGTTAGAATTTCCATTTCACAAGGATATTAAATGATTTATTTATAGTTACTAGCAGGTAACAGACAAAAGTTAGCTCAACAATCAGCCAAACAGATAACTCAATGTAAACATTAACTTACACTTTAACCTTATTTTTTAAAAATTGCTTCCAAGGACAGAAATTAAAGACAAACAATATGGTTATATTATTTCTCTCATTTTTCAGTAAAAAAAAAATGGGTGAGGAGAGAAATTATACAAATGCAGTTAAATGATGTTTGTTTTCTGGTGAATAACTACTTGGCAATCACTTGTAACTTGTTTATTAAACATCTTCATGTTATGATGAATATAATGATATGATGAATATATATTTGAATTTTTAGAGTCATACCAATAAGCTCTTTAAGAAGCCTAATTCTGCTAGTTTCTATGAATTTAAGCATGCCTGAATTAGTGGAAAGTATGACACCCCACATATTCTTTGTGACCAAAGTTATAATTTATTTCAGGAACTGGTTTTACATTTCCCAGAAGGCATCACTCTATCGATAAAGTTCCACTTAGTTACTGAATAAAAATAGACTTATACACATAGCTTTTTAAAAAAAAATAAAGACTGAGTATTTATTAAACTTTAAGAACAAAGTTCTTGGAGTCATTGTCCCTAGTTTCTGACCTTTTTTCTTAGGTTACTGGAAAAAGGGCCTAGCAGAAAGGCCCTGGGCTCCAGTTGGTTTCTTTTCCTTCCCACTGCTAGGATGTTTACTTTGCATTTCATTCGTTTATTCATTTGTGTCTTTATATATATATATATATATATACTTTAAAAATTTTCTTTCTAAAGTTTATTCATAAGCATATATATTTTTTAATTTTGGTATAATTAATCAACAATTACATGAGGAACATTATGTCTACTAGACTTCCCCCTTCAGCAAGTACCCCCCACAATCCCCATTACAGTAACTGTCCATCAGCCAAGTAAGATGCTGTAGAATCATTACTAGTCTTCTCTGTGTTGCACAGCCTTCCCCATGCCTCCCCCAACATTATACATGGTTATCATAAGGCCCCCTTTCTTTCCCCCTCCCCCTTATCCCTCCCTTCCCACCTATCTACCCCAGTCCCTTTCCCTTTGGTAACTGTTGGTCCATTCTTGGGTTCTGTGATTCTGCAGCTGTTTTGTTCCTTCAGTTTCTTCTTGGTTCTCATACTCCACATATGAGTGAAATCATTTGGTACTTGTCTTTCTCCACCTGGCTTATTTCACTGAGCATAATACCCTCTAGCTCCATCCATTTTGCTGCAAATGGTAGGATTTGTTTTCTTCTAATGGCTGAATAATATTCCATTGTGTATACGTACCACCTCTTCTTTATCCATACTGATGGACATTTAGGTTGCTTCCAATTCTTGGCTATTATAAATACTGCTGTGATAAACATAGGGGTGCATCTGTCCTTTTCAAACTGGGCTGCTGCATTCTTAGGGTAAATTCCTAGAAGTGGAATTCCTGGGTCAAATAGTATTTCTATTTTGAGCTTTTTGGGGAACCTCCATATTGCTTTCCACAGTGGTTGAACTAATTGATATTCCAACAAGCAGTGTAGGAGGGTTCCCCTTTCTCCACAACCTCGCCAACATTTGTTGTTGTTTGTCTTTTCGATGGTGGTGATCCTTACTGATGTGAGATGATATCTCATTGTGGTTTTAATTTGCATTTCTCTGATGACTAGCGATGTGGAGCATCTTCTCATGTGCCTGTTGGCCATCTGAATGTCTTCTTTGGAAAACTGTCTGTTCAGCTCTTATGCCCATTTTTTAATTGGATTATTTGCTTTTTGCTTGTTAAGGTGCATGAGCTCTTCATATATTTTGGATGTCAACCTTATATTGGATCTGTCATTTATGAATATATTCTCCCATACTGTAGGATACGTTTTTGTTCTTTGATGGTGGCCTTTGCTGTACAGAAGCTTTTCAGCTTGATATAGTCCCACTTGTTCATTTTTGCTTTTGTTTCCCTTGCCTAGGAAGATATGTTCATGGAGAAGTCGCTCTTGTTTATGTCCAGGAGATTTGTGCTGTGTTTTTTTCTCAGAGTTTTATGGCTTCATAACTTACATTCAGTTCTTTGATCCATTTCGAATTTACTTTTGTTTATGGGGTTAGACAATGGTCTGGTTTCATTCTCTTACATGTAGTTGTCCAGTTTTGCCAACACCAACTGTTCAAGAGGCTGTCATTTCCCCATTGTATGTCCATGGCTCCTTTATCGTATATTAATTGACCATAAATGTTTGGGTTAATGTCTGCAGTCTTTATTCTGTTCCACTGGTCTGTGGCTCTGTTCTTCTTCCAGTACTGAATTGTCTTGATTACTGTGGCTTTGTAGTA